ATAACAACCACTGCATTAAAACTGTTATATCGTTAGGCGTTTGTTAATATAATTTGTGAATTTTAAAATCTTTTTCCTCAGATACTGGGCAGTTGCTCTGCCAGCGTACCTACTAGTGGCTATAGGAATTGGCTATATATTACTTTTTGGTATTAACATGATGAGTACAGCTCCACTTAACTCCACAAATACCATTACAGGTAATTTTATTGGGTTTTTTTTAAGGTTTTGATACTTAACTGGTAATTTCTGTAAGTCTGTATATATAGCCGTATATAATATAAATCAAATTTTAAGCCTTTAAATATTTTGATCTAGAAAAGGACTTCTTGGAATTACTGAAGTACTAGAGTGAAGAGATAGTCACGAGACTAGAACATCTCTCTTGCGAAGAGAGGCTGAGGGACTTGGGGCTTTTTTAGCCTGGAGAAGAAAAGACTGAGGGGGGATCTTATCAATGCTTATAAATACTTAAAGGGTGGGTTTCAGAAGGATGGGAACAGTCTTTTTTCAGTGGTGCCCTGTGACAGGACAAGAGGTAATGGGCACAAACATGAACATAGGCTGTTCCATCTAAACATGAGGAGGAACTTCTTTACTTTGAGGGTGACAGAGCCCTGGAACAGGCTGCCCAGGGAGGCTGTGGCGTCTCCATCCCTAGAGACATTTAAAACCCACCTGGACACTGCCCCGTGTGACCTGCTCTAGGTGATCCTGCTCTGGCAGGGGGGTTGGACTAGACGATCTTTTGAGGTCCCTTCCAACCTGTGCCATGCTGTGAGTCTGTGAGCCTGAGTCTTTGCCATCTTATGGCAGTGGTTTCCAACTAGTAGAACGTACTTTGGTAGTAAACCAGGCCACATTAGTGGAACGGGCGTTAGGCATATAGAGATGCACACCCTGCATTACAAACCGGTGAAGAATGTCATGGGAAGAAGGGCGGGAGTACCTGCCTGGCAGTGGCAGAAGTGGGAAGGCGTGCAGGAGTCAAGGTGGTGCAGAGGATGTTGCGGTAGTGAGGCTTCATCAGATGTGTTAGTGATTCCCTGCCTAAAAAAGCTGTTCTTCAGTTTTTCTCTCAACTTTTGTGTAGCCTTTACACCTTCCAGGGAGACGTGTTCTAGGCATTCACAATATGCTCCAGACAGCTGCATCTTCCTCCACGTGAGGAATTCCACCACTACTTGCAGGTGGCCATTTTTGTTAGAAAAAATGCAGGCGGTAAAATTTGGCCAGAAAGTTACCGATTGCGAAGACAATTGCTAAGAATTTGCATTATTTTAACAAACCATGTACATAGTGTTACCTTACACTGAACTGCTAAGGAAAAAAAAGAACAGTCAAGGCTGTATTACTCGAGTGCTTCTGTTGAGAACTGCCATTTAGTGATCCCTGTGTTCCTGGCTGCTCGTTCACACTCTCATGTCACCCTCTCATTTGGTGTCAGCCCGAGAGTTTGTGTGGCTGTATGGCAGGTGGGATGATGGATCTACTCTGTTTGAAAAACAGCTGTATTTGAAAATTTTCTTTTTCAGAGGGAGCAGTGCCATAATTATGTTCAAAATGCACCTGTAAAAGTGTTTATGCGGTTACAGGAATGGGTGCTGTGTGGTGATGGGAACAAGCAGCCAAGATAAGGGGAGGATGGACAGCATCTCTCAGTGGAAATCCTAGCACAAAGTGTTCAAACTACAGACTGAGCTATTCACTGGGCAGGTTTGTTTGTTTGTTTGTTCTTTTTCTCTGGGGGTAGTTACGGTTTAGTGTCATACAGCGTCTTAGAGC